ATTGACTGTGAATCTCATTAAATATTAAAATTTATTGTTGATTCAATAATTATAATAAAATTATATTATTAGGCCAATAAATTAAATTAAATTTTTAACTCACAATAGTATTTTTCTAAATTAAATCTACGTAACAGTTTATTTTTTCTTTTCATATTGTTACCTCACCGGTGTGACGGTGTCCACGTGGCACCATAAATTAGAACTTGCTTTTATTTGATGACACGTCACACGCAAATTACACTGCCAACATTTATGTGAGAGATATGGGAGCTGTCGGAGGGAGACTAATCATAGAGGCCGTGGGCCACCACTGAGGCCGACATGAGTGGCATAAGAAAAATGGACCAACCGGTAGTTAACCATCCTTTCAAAGTTCTGGTGGACAATTACAGATTCATCCTAAGGACCTCAATACTCTCATGTTCTGTGTGGGAGGAGAGAAACAATTAGGATGATTATCCTTAAAAAAAAAAATGGTAAATTACATTCGCACCCTCTGACATTTAATTTCATTGTACAAACACTTTCTTACACTTCAAAAATAACACAGAAATCCCTTAACATTTGAACACTCGTGACAATCGCACGCTTTTTGTATGGCAGATGTTAACTATTTCATTAAAAAAAAATTTTTACCCTTATATCATTGAGATTAACCATCTCATTGAGAAAATTCTAACTCCTAATCAAATTTGTCGTAAAATTTAATTGAATCAAACTAATCTACTAATTAAGGCAATTTATCTCTAAATTTTTTTCAATTATAGTTAATTTCATTCATTAATTTAAATTTAGCCCCCAAATTTAATTCTAATTTATACACAAAATTAATTAGTTTAATCACACTAATTACTTTAGATTTGTCCCCAAATCCGCCATTTAACACCATCACCATGCACCACCAATTGCCGCCTCCACCACCAGTGAAATTCACCACACAAATCCACCTAATTTGCCCTCAAATCCACAAACACAAACCCACCAAACCATCAATCTCCACCGCCACAATCCACCTTTCAGTGAAATCCACAAAGCACTGCGAGTCCACAACCCAATACCCGCCTCTTGGTAAAGGGAAACCAGCAAACCACTGTCCAACTCCTGCAACACCCACAAACAAACCCTCCCTCCCCCACTGCCTGAGATTCTGTGTGTGTGTGTGTGTGTGTGTGATGGATAATATAGTGGCCCTTCAACAGTGAAGAACTCAGATTTGAAAATTGAAAAAACTCAGATCTAAAAATTTTGAAAATTCTCTCTCTGCTCCATTTGACCATAAAAAACTCAAATTTGGAAAAATTGAAAGAAATCTGTGTGTGTGTGTGTGTGAGATGCTGATGGCTTAAAGTGGTGAGTGGTTGAGACAAATTTGTCGATTTTTGAGGTGTTTTGGTTCAAGTTCTGAGTCTTTTGGGTATTGGCGATGATGGCTTTATGGTGGTGTTAGTGGTCTGTGATTGTAGGCGATAAACACTGGTTGGATGTGGTGTTGGTGCTTGTGGGTAGCAATCACTATTGGAACTGATGTTTGTTCGTATGAGTTTTTTTTACCATTTAGAACGAAGAACATTACTATCATTTTCTCACTTCTATTAACAACATCCAGTATGTAATGGTATTTGGGGTTTTATTGTCTATTTTGAAATATAAAAGGGTGTCTGTATAATATAACCAAATATCAGGTGGTGTGAGTATAATTTACCCTAAATAAAGGAAAAATTACACCAAATTTTTTAAAATTTATCAATTAATCATTTAGATCTCCTAACATTTGAAATATTACATACAAACTCTTTGAAGTTTGTACACATATAATACTTAGACTATTGTCGTCAAATGTCTGTTAGTATATCTGTTAATGAATTACACTCAGACTCCCTGAAGTTTATAGATGTATAATACTTAGATACCTCAAGTTTAAAATGTTATACTNATGTCTGTTAGTATATCTGTTAATGAATTACACTCAGACTCCCTGAAGTTTATAGATGTATAATACTTAGATACCTCAATTTTAAAATGTTATACTTACACAAAAAATATTTCAATAAAATATACAATATCAATTATTTTAAATTTTACAATCAAAATTCATGTTCTATTATATCATTTATTAAAATAAAATCAAAAATAAAAATCTATTTTTTCTTAAAAAATCATAATTAGTATACAATTATACTATCTATTGAAATAAAACTAAAAAATCAAACAAGGAGTCAAGCTGTAATAGACACAATATATTCTAGTTTTAATTGGGATAATTTGATCGTTTAAACGACCGTATTAAATTCTAATAAATAGTATAATTTTATATTAACTATGATTTTTTAAGAAAAAGTTAGATTTTTATTTTTAAGTTTATTTCAATAGATATCATAATAGAACATGAAATTTGGTTGTAAAATTTAAAAAATTTGATATTCTATCTTTGCTTGGTTTATTTTTGGTCTAAATATAACATTTTAAACTTGTGTTATTTTTTGTCTAATATATCATTGACCTTTGGTCCAATGGTATTCCTTGTCTTGTAAAAGGTTTGTCTTGTTGAGGTCAAGGGTTCAAATCCCCCTTCNTATAACATTTTAAACTTGTGCTATTTTTTGTCTAATATATCATTGACCTTTGGTCCAATGGTACTCTTTGTCTTGTAAAAGCTTTGTTTTGTTGAGGTCAAGGGTTCAAATCCCCCTTTCACTCTCTCCCCCGCCCCCAAAATAAAGTATTGCATGCTTACAAACTTCAAAGAGTCTAGATGTAATTTACTAACAGATATACTAACGGACATTGACGATAGGTATCTAAATGTTACGTGTGTACAAACTTTAAGGGTCTATATGTAATATTTCAAATGTCAATCGGTCTACATGATTAAGTGAGAAACCTCAAGGGTTATGAGTATAATTTTTCCTTAAAAAAATATTTTTCCTCTTTTTTGTTTAATACAACAAATGAAAAGTTGAAAAAAATTAATTTTTTATTATTTAGTATTAGATGAAAAGTGGAAGAAAATAAAATATACATGTATTTAATTTATCATTATTCCCTTATATATAAAAATATTTTTATTACAAATAAATTTTTAAAAATTCATGGTCTCTCTAATTAGTTATAAAAATAAATAAACAAATAAATATAGATATGTATATTAAAAATAAAAGCCAAAAAATATATGTAATATGATATTTAAAAGTGTTTTTTGATAAATGTGCAGGTTTTGATTTAAAATTATGATATAATGTTTAGAAATTAGAAGTTGATTTGAAATTATGACATAATATTTAAAATTTGAAGTATATTTAAGATCAAAAAAGTCAATTCGTTCCAAAAAATAATTTGTCTTCAATTTTCCTCCCAAATTTGGGAAGAAAAAAATGGTGGGCTAGGGAAACACTTTCCCCCAAATTTGCTTTCCCTCCTATTTTTTTTTATAACCAAATAATGAAAAATCTTTATTGTCATCCCATTTTCTTTCCCCCATTTTCCATTACTCAACCTTCCATCAAACTAACCACACTATCAGGGAGGAATATCAATGAGCTGACAGCCTTGCAAATTTAGGCGTGAACCGGTTAGTTAATTTTGTGGTTCTTGACGAGCCACCTAATTGTATTGTTCACCTTTTGAGGGCAGACATGTGATTCCCTTAAAAAAAAAAAAAAAAATTGGTAGTTTGGATTAAAGAGAAATATATGGTACCAATTTTTTTTTTTGGGTGCATTGAACCACCATTACAAATTTTGTGGTTTTTTCTCACAATTTTTAATGGTTAGTTGCAATTTTTGAAAAGTCATTTATAATTCTTGTGGGTTATTTATTACTATTGGGGTTACTAGGATCGATCCCAAATGACCCATAAAAATTGTAAGTGACCCACAAAAATAGTAATTTGAATCATACAAATTTTAATATAATCTCAAAAGTTATAAATTTTTTTTTATCGTAAACAAATGTAAAAATTTATAGTTTTACCCATAAAACTAATAAAATTTGATGGTACAGTACCAAAATTTTTTATTCGGTGCCGTGGCCGGCCGACTCCTGGATTAAAAGGGTAAGACTGCAATCATGGACCCATATTTTATTTTGGGTTTGGATGCTCCTAATTTCTTTTTTTAGTATGAAATAAAAAAAAAAGTTTATGTTACAATTCAATGAGATGAAATTATATGCAATGCGAGTCACAAAATTAGAATTGATACTCATAGTTAGGGCCGACGTTAAAAAACTAAAATCAATCTTAAAACCTTCTAAAAAAATTGATATATTTGATTACCTCAATATCATTAGATAAGAATTTTCCTAAATTGAGGAATTAAAGACGTCGTGTTGTGATTATTCTACAGATTTTCTTTTGATTTTGTTCATTGGGCGTTGTTATCACTTTATGAAGTCACTCTATGTGAGCATATCACTATGTAATATCACACTATACGAAACTACTCAATGCATGGTGTCACTCTTTTCTTAGTGATGTCTTTCCATATCTTTTTGACATATGTTAAGATTGAGATGAATGTGTCGAAAGGTTTGAATCAATTTGTGAAAAAAAAGTATGTTGCTACTTGCGTGTAATTATAAAGAGTTACATCAGAAACAACATAATTCAGAATAGAGTGACACCAAATAATGATATTAAAGGGTGATTACAAATAGTAATATCAGAAATAACGCAACTCAAAATAGAATAACATCAAAGAGTGACATTAAAAATTGGGTGTTTGTAGAAATCACTATCAAGCTATAGTGCCTTGATAGTGTGACACAAACATATTCTATATATTTATATTAAAAGCTAATTAAATAACATGCGATGATCACTGATAATGGAGAAAAATGATGCTTCATACAATTTTTTATTCAACTTGGAGATTGAGGATTTTGCAAAAGTTTATTTGATTCGCAGGTATGATTAGTTTTTTTATAGATTTCATGCAAAATCAAATGGTCAGAATAATGAAACAAGAATGCAAAGCTGTCGATAACCTCTGTTGTTGGAGAAAACCCGCCGCCGATCGTTAGGTGTTCAACCGCCTGATATCACTAACTCTCAGGGACTCGCTGCATTCTGTTTAGGTATACAACCTATAGATGGAGGAATTGGTATAATTGGACAGAAGTTGATGATGGATTATCGCATTGTGTTTGACATGGAAAACTTGAAGGTGGTTTGGTCTCATTCCAATTGTCAAGATGTTAGTGACGGTAAGAAAGTTCATATTACACCACCTCCAAGCGATAAATCGCCAAACTCAATGCCAAACAATGACCAACAGAGCACCCCTAGACCTCATGCAGTTGCACTGTTGCCTGGAGGACTACCTGCAATGAAGGTTAAAATAGACATTTACTAGACTACATGGACTTTTAACTAAAATATTTTTCGTAGTGGACTTCTTACCCAGCAAGTTTGGAATAGTTTACAGGTTTTTGTGTTTTACCAAAAAAAAAGTGGTACAATTCGCAATTCGCTTTGTAACCCATACACTCTATCCATAAATTATGGTGTACTCATGACATACAAGCTTGCCCTGTGAATTTGTCTCCAAAAAGTCCAATTTTGTCAATGTTACAACTCATATCCAAAGGAATTAATCAAACTTTCCCAAGGAGGAGTGGAGGAGGTAGATGCCTTCCATATTTTTTTATTTCCATTCATTGTGGATCACTTACTGTATTACATACAAATGGTTCATTCATTAACATATCACGGAGAATTTAGTTAAAAAATATGAAGAAACAAAAGTAATGGAGAAATTTGAATATGTGCAGTGGACTACACTTGATAACAGCAAAGAACAACTTACAACACAGGCGTAGTTCTACAAAAATATATTCAAATTAGTAGGGGTCTGTGAATTTTTTTTTTGAATTGGACTTGAGTAGGATAGGCCCAAGCTCTTACTCGGTCAAGTTATCGGCCGAGCCGGACTGAGTTTTAGGTAAGGGTAGGCTACTCGTAGCCCAACCCGCCACTCACTAGGTGGATCTTTGTTATATATTAAATTACATTTTTAAAAATTAAAAGTGGAGTTAAAATGGACAAAAAAAATAATGAATAATTTTATTTATAAATAGAGGAGAAATAACATCATAATAGAATGAGTACATCTCAATTAAGTTCAAATATTACCACCGAATTTTCAAAATTTTAATGGTCAACTTTTTCTCAAATAATTAGGTCGAAAGGTGAAACAGGTTGAGCAAGTGGGAAGGGTGGACGGTGTCTAAAGTTGGATTGTAACGGGTTTTTGCTAGTGGGCTCATAGGTAAGGTTGAAGGCTGGTTAATGGGGTTGAGGGCAAGTCCAAGTCCTCTCTTTAAGGATATTAAGCTCAAGTTCAAGCAGGATAACTATTGAGTCTATCGGACTTCAGACCTATTTTTTGAATCGGGTAATAGGATCTGTGGACCAACCCGACCCATAGACACCCCTATGAATCAGTGTAACATAATTACATTGATCAAATAATTGATGCAACTATCAGTGATGCTTCAAAAAATTTGTAAAAATAATACGATTTTCTCGTATAACATCGTTTCTGCTATGACGAATGTAAGTTGGAATATCCAATTCTATAAGATTCTATCCACAACGAGTAAAAACTTTAAGGTTTGAAACTAATATCGTGATACGAATATATACCTTCTCTCCAAATTGAATGCAACTATAGTTATTGTTGAATGCAATTGACAAATTCAAAATCTGAAAGTTCTTTTTAAGTATTAAATCTTGCAAAGAAATATATGCACAAAAAATAACAAGAGATAGATTAATTTGGATTATAGGGCTAAAAAGTTAGGTTAACATGAATTTAATAACTTCAAAAATCTTTATTTGGACTAATTACCAAAGTAGTTACTATATGGACAATTTTCACTTTTAATTATCCACCATCATGACTTTCACAGTTCAACTACTTGGGCCCCCTTGATCTAATGGATAGAGGTAAAAAAAGTTCGATTGACATGAATTTAATGACTAAACAAATCTTTATTTGGTCTAATTCCCAAAGTAGTTACTGTTTGGATAATTTTTGCTTTTAATTATCCACCATAATGAACTAGCTGTCACAGTTCAACTTTTCAATCTAATCCCCTAACCTGGGCTAGGTCGTTGGTGAGTGGCCCACGGGTCTGGCCATCTACTTGGCCCCCCTTGACCCAATGGAAAACCCTAGCCTGGCCCATGAAGTCGGCCTGCGTTCCAATCAAATGGCTTACTAAACTAAAAAAAAATGTACTTATTTAAGAGAATATATGTTAATTTATATAATAAAATAATAACCTAATAATTTAACGCTAAAGGTTAGCGCTTAAGGTCCATAGTCCAGCGTTTTAAAACCTGGCCCGGCTTGGCTGGTCAACCTGGTGAATAGGTGCCCTAACTGGGTCGGTTCTGAAAAAAGACCGTTTATGCAAAGAATCCGGGATCAAATCATTGAACTGGTCAAAAACTGGTAAACACGAGAGAACCGGACGATTTTACCAAACCGAACAGTTTAATTTCATTTGTATAAATGTTAAATTTTTTTCATCATTTGGATATTTTGTGTTTTTCCCCCTTTTATTTTGCCCTAAATCGATCCACTTGACCAAACACCAACGACTGAGCAACCTCCACCACCAATGAATGAACACAGTCCAGCCTCCACCAATGAGCAGCATCGATCCATTCTCCAATCCAGCCTCCACTCCAGCACCAGCAAGCAGCAGTGATCCCCTTTTGATTTTCCCTAAATCGATTTTCAGACCAGACTCCAGCGATTGAGTAGCAAACACAGCCTCCATCACCAACAACTGAGTCTAGCTTCCAGGAATCCAGTCCAGTCGACTCCAGTTCACCAGCAGTGAGTTTCCGTCTCTCTCTCTCTTTCTCTCTCCAATCTAATCGACTCCAGTTCACCACCAGTAGTATTGTACTTTTTATTTGTGTGTTGTATGTTTGTTTAAGATTGTGAACTTGTAGATTGTTTATTGCGGTAAGAGCATTTATGAATTGTGGTATTGAACTTGTGGCTTGTTTGAGATTTTTATTGTTCATTATATATAATTGGGTTGTAGATTAATTAATTGATAGTAGTGATAATATTTGTATTTTCAAGTGGAACTAAGCAGTGGTTGAATAATTTATTTTTATTTTCGTTTATTTGAGTCTTTATGCTATGCTCGTGGGTTTTGTTCTGTTTTCAGTGTCTTGTTTATTACAATTTGAGTTTGAACTTTGAACTTTGAAGAGTGAAAATTACATGAATTTTGCTTAAATTGATATATTTTCGAAGAGTTGTACATAGACTTGGAGTCTCGAACTTTAATAGAGATATTTTTCTCTGTTTAACTTTACAAGTTATATTTAAAATTGAATGCATTGAAATTGGATACATATTTGATGATTTTTTTTTTACTTAACTTTACATATTTGATGTTATTTTTATAATTATTATAATTTTTTAACTTATTTATTATTATTATTTTTTAATTTTTTATTATTTTATCGGTCCGACCAGTGATTTAACAGTAAACCAGTAATTCATTGATCTGATGTCTTCACCAAATTGATGTCCGAACTGAATTTTAAAACTATGCCATAATTCATTCAATTAGGTGATCCCTAAAATGTCGACAAGATTGAACCTTTGACCAACTAATAGTCCCAAGGGCCAATTCGATGTTGACACTTAGTCCAAACCCCCTCCTCTCAAACAAAAAATAGGAATGAAAGGACGTCTCTGTTATTAGCTTTTCTTCTTTTTTCTTCCCTTTTTTCACTTATTGCATATTGACCCCCAAAACCATAAAATCTATCTTCAAGTCCAACTAGTGCAAGTGGTTTTCAGTACATAAGATCGACCAAGAAATTATTGTTGATGATGCACAAAAATGGTTTTGCACACCACCTGTCAAATGTATGTAATAAATGCAATGAAATCAATGAGAAACTTAAAGAAGACACAATTTATAGTGGTTCGGTCAATTCGACCTACGTCCACTCTTCAATGGCTTTAGTTGCCGGGTATTTTATTGATTCAAAGGTATGGAGAATAGAGATACAAGCTTTTAGAGAGAGAATGGAGAATCAAAGAAATAGTAATCTCCGGTAGTCGGTTCGTCCTCTGTAAGTCTTGGTGGGGCGTGACATTCATCTCTCTCTTTTACCAGATTGGAGCTATTTTATAGCAGCTAAGAGATCATTCTTGTGGAGATCATGACTTATCCTCAAGGTTTCTTTATCGCAGCTAAGAGATTATTCTGGTGGAGATCACGACTTATCCTCAACGGAAGGAGGAGGTTGGGGAGCTCTTCATGAAACGTGGTCAAAGATTGGACCGTTTCCTTCGGTGGTGCAGATAAGCTTCTCATGCTCTCCTCTTGGTGACGTGCTAAGCAAAAAGTTTAACCGGTCTTGGACTGTCTTGGGCTTGGTGAAATCAAAATGAGGTTGGGCTCCTCAACTAGAATTGGACTTTAACACATGAATTGGACTATTTGGGCTTAACCCATCATTTGCCCCCCAATGCCCCATGTCCAATGAGACTTGGAGAAGGAGGCATTGACTATGTTATTATTATTATTCTCTTTTTTTTTTTTTCAAGTCTTCCCCACTTTATTTTGAAGAGGGCCCATAATATTCTATTTGACCTTTTTTATTTTGAAAATGACTTATAACTTTCTATTTGGCCACTTTATTTTGAAGAGGGCCATAATTTTTTATTTGGGCTTTTTTTCTCTTTTTGAAAAACCCTAGACTATAAATATAGTCTTCTTCTTTATGTTACCTATTTCACTCATTTTTAAGGTTGAGCACCCACCTCTTGAAAACTTTGAGAACTCAAGTCCTCCCCATTTTGTTGAAGCCAAAGTGTGTTCTCCTTGAATCCTTTCAAGAGTGTGATTTCTTCCTTGCTAGTTGAGCTTCTCAAGTGAACAATGTCGATTGAAGAGGGAGTGGTAGAGGTTGAAGAAAGGGAGGAAGTAGGCACCATTTTGGAGAACTTGGAGGCTAGTTTTGAGCATTCGAATGCTGTCTTGGACAGCTTTGGGGCTGAAAATGAAGAGCTGGACAGCGAAAGGGAGATGGGCAGCACGAGGAGTGGCTTGGGCAGCGAAGGGAAACGGCTGGGCGCGCAATTAGCATGCGACTGGGCAGCGCAGGCGCGCAGCTGGGCAGCGCGCGCGTGTGCGGTGGGGGGTTGGGCGGCTGCCTGGGCTCTGCTCCTCCTGTCCTGGACAGCCCAGGCGCGTTGGGCAGCTGTCTGGGCGCTGTCCTGGACAGCCCAGGTGCGCTAGGCAGCAGCCTAGTTGCTGCTTCTGCTGTCCCGGACAGCTTCAGATCTGCTACGCTGGGCGGCTTTGG